GCACTATGTCACATATCACAACCTGTCACTTAGATAAGTGGGACTAACGGGGCACATTGGCATTATCACACTTTGACAAGTGGTAAAAAATACTCATAGGGCATGACAGAGTTATTCTGGCTAGAGTATTCATTTTGTCTTAATCATGAAACTTGTCGATCTTGCAGTTGTTACTTGGCATTGTACACAGTTTCTATGATACTTCATCCGGTGTTCCTACGGCTACTGTTTTAATTGCTATTACCACTGCTATTGTGAAAACGACGAATGATAGGTAAAGTAAAAAAACACTGGTCACTATGTTACATAACATGGTAAACTCCACTGTTTTATCGTGCGTAATTCGAGTGGTCATGTTGTATTAGTACCAATAATTGTCCTGCACCGTCTCCCGTGTTAACATCAACTGAAGTGACCAAGGTGTTAAAGATACTCTGAGTGGAACTCAATAAACTAGCTCTTTATTGTTAACAAAAACACCACTGCTGATTATTTTTATGTGAAAGATTGATAACATTCATACAATAAACACTGCATGGCTACATTCTATGGCGATTGTAAAACATGTAATGTAAAACAAGGAAGCATAAAGATTTCTTACAGATTCTGTAGTTTTAGAAACTGAGGTTAGAGTTGAGTTGACTTATAACGAAGTGTCTAGCGCAGAATAAACTCAAACGTACTACTGTTTACAACTTCGATAACCAGACATCCCTCATATGCTCTAAATTTGGTTCACAACTTTGAGTACCAGCTTTCTTCTACTGGCCTTCATCACAAATGAAATCTCAGAATGAGGCTAAGTTACACAGTCTTCCGTTCAAGTGACAGTAGATAAACTTGCGAGAAGCTCAAGTTTTTGGCCTTCCCTTCCTAGAGCTTTCTATCATGCTCTATGTAGTGCAATTGTTATTGATACAACGCGCTGCTTGTCATCTAGTACTACGGTATTTTTCTTTCTNAAGGGTTACTAATCAGTTTCTGCTGTCTTAGGGGCGTATTGAAAGTCAAATGTAAACTTAAAAGTATGAGAACCTGTTGAATGAGAGCGCTTTGAATAATCCATGATTAGATTTAGAAGAAAGTTATCCGCAGCTGTGGATTGCAAAATGATTATAAGAGTATATCAACATTTTTTCTTGAAAAGTGAGCTTATAACGCTCTGAGAAGGGCAGAAATCGAGTAAGTGACCTATTTTCCTCACAGGGTAAGCGAGTAAAGCACTCCACATGTTCCGCCATACAGTTATCGTTTAAACCACTATTCACAAGAATTCTGCTGGGCCTCGTTGGCGTATCTGTGACCTCCCAGTAGTTCTACTCACTCATCAAGTGTGTGGACAATTGGAAAAAGTGCAGTTCTGAGCAACGACGAAGGGTAAAGCGAGGAAATGGCATTTGGTCTGCTCTTCAATAATCAATTATCACCCTCAGGATCCATGTCGGTGTCGACAAAGTCGTGTTGCAGCAACTGAGTATGTGAATTCAGAAATCTCAAGTCGTCGTCTCGAAGATGGTCGTTCTCCGATGGTGAATATTTCTTAAATAATCGTCTTGTAACTTCTGTAATGTTTGCTTCATCGGACTCCGGCATAGTACTTGTGAGCTGAAATGACTAATATCAACTTCTTCATAAGCACTTTTGAGCGGGCCTACATCATTTAACATAAAATTTCTCCATAAAATTAGGTTGCCCCCTAGTTTAATGGAATCTGGTCATATCTCGTCCGTAATATTAA